TAACAAACTTTAGTTATTCCAGAAAAACAAAAGTTCCTGGTAGGCCTTGATATTGTCGTAGTCATTTGTTTCGCGTACCAGACCAGAATGTTGGTGATGGAAGCCGAAACAAGAAATCTCGAATCGAACATTTGACTACGCCATGTATTGTATCGTGTATTTTGAAATTCATCTCAAATAAAGTCGTGAGAAGTTAAAGGAGTTGGAGGATTACGAAATGATACAATTTCGTGGTCATATCCAGTTGCCTACGGATTGTTTATCGGTGCATTCACTTGTTCTGGCTAGTTGCCGAATCGTTGTGCGATCAGAGGAGGCTGGGGGCACGTAGACACGTCATAGTGTGCGATGCACACTGCCACTTTCAGTTGGCACTCGTTCTAGAGCAATACGCGTGTAGGCTGGACACATGCTACCAAAGACACTAGTTGAATACCGGCCAACACACAGAAAATAACGATTCTACTTGTTTATCAGCTGATGTATACACGTCCATATTCAACGGATTTACGAATATTCTGCACCAAAAAATGTTTCATCGGCCATGTAAGATAAATACGATTTTTCTACAAGGAACTCCTGTCCAACTCATTGCTTTTAACATAAACCATTTCGGGCCCCGTATGTCGCAACTTAACGTACGCATACGTTATCTAGCAAATAATCCTGCTAATGTACAGAGCATAAAGTCGGTTATATTTCTCTTTGAGTCATTTAAAACGTAACCGAGCGTGATTTACACTATCGACAAATAAATAAGGCTATTAAGCTGTTGAACGGTGCAAATTACGCTCCGGAATATTAACATAATTGCTGAAAAATTGAAACGACTGGAACTGAGCTTTTTATGACATATACGCATTTTTTGGCGTGCGGAAAAAGTGAGCGATTTGCGATTAGTCTCATTAATTGATATGCAAGAAACCGGAGAACTTGAAAAGATTGATCGATGGCATTTATCATTCGCACCTTTGGTATGCCGAGATACGACGGAATTTCCAAGTCGAGACTACATGTTAGAAATAATCTTTTTTTTTGTTCGTTTTTCTTCATTTCGTAGCGGACGAAAGCTGATATACAGGGTGGCGCATCGAAAACGAAACAGACGCCATTTACTGGTAGCTCAGTTTTTTTTTTTTGGAAAAACGCTCAGACCCGTCGATTTTGTTTTAGAGGAGGACACAAGTTTGGCAAAAAATCACGTTAACACGTGCAGCCCCCTGGGCGGGGGTGACACCAACCCTAAAATCTTAAATGGACAGGGGGGTCGAGTGATACCTTATTTTAAAGGTCTTTTAATTCCGTTTATAATGATGTAAAGTACCAGTAGTTTTGAAGATTTATTGATTTAAAGCTTAAAGTATACTTTAATAGGTACATCAGGTTAGTTTGTACTACTTTCAGAAGAAATTTGACTAAAAGAATTTACTTAATAAGTACTACGCCCATGGTTTGTTTATCATTTTGTTGTTGAAAATAGCTATTGGAGCGTTTTTTTTTGTGGTAAAAAAGTTATTTCTTGAAGAAAGATAAGGAAATATCTCGTACTTATTTTAAATAAGAATTTAGTACATAGTTTGCTATTGATTTCACCAAACTTTGTTGCTAAAATAACTTGTAACGCTTTATTACATAAATTAACCATGGTATATTCCACAATCAACTGTTTGAAGAGTCTGTGAAGTGTTTCGGAAACAAGCTAGGTTTAAAATCACCATACAAATATCAAAAAATCTGGAAATCAATTGAATGGCCGACAATACACCTTCCCAACTGACGCTTCAACCGAAAATGCTCACCCATACGAATTTCAAGAAAAGTTCCACGACGGAACCTACACAAAGAACATCACTGGATACCTATGGGTATACTTCAGGACCGAATTATTTCCCAAAATAATGTTGCTGGTAAAGGGTTTTACGAAGGACCAATGATATTTTACTTGTGGAAATTTCTGAGATAGACGTTAATAATATATTGTGACATCCAATACTGTTGATGATCGAATTTGAACACCCGATATATGCGTATAGATGAGATGACGTAGAGTATCCCTGACCCCGCGTTTCGGTGATTATGCAAATCCGAAGGGGAAAAGAGGAGCGGTGCGCACTGTTGAGGGTGCTTTATATTCCGATAGGGACACTAAAACTCTGGCCAACTTTTCCACCGATACCAATCAAAACTAAAGTTGCCCAGTTTATGCGCCGATAACTCAATATCGAGCAAAGTTATAACATTTAAATGTGTCTTCGGCACTGCGCGAAGGAATATCAAATCTATTGGTGTTCCGAAGAACGGTAAAATGGGTTGAGTACGTGTCTGAGTTCGAGAGCCAGCGGCGCCGTACACCAAACTTCCAAATCTGCGTCTGGAATAAAGCTAGATTATGCCTTAATTTCGTATACAATGGTCAATTTCTTGTAAAATTACTCTCAAACTAGAGAATAACTATACGGTTTGGGGGGGTATGGGTTGTTTACATTTGCTCTTCCCTCTCTCTCTCTCTCTCTCTCTCTTCCTTTACCCTCCCTTCCCTCCCTTTTTCTTCCTTCTATCATCCTCCTTTCCCTTTCATCTTCACCTCTTTCTTTCCCCATTCCTCATTTTTTTTTGCAAGTCTCAGATCTTGGGAGGAGCATACCATCGTTGCCCCACCCTGGATTCGCGCCTGGTCATGGTTTAGCTACCAGATCACAACTCTTCCCTCTCCCTCTCTTCCTTTACCCTCCCTTCCCTCCCTTTTTCTTCCTTCTATCATCCTCCTTTCCCTTTCATCTTCACCTCTTTCTTTCCCCATTCCTCATTTTTTTTGCAAGTCTCAGACCTTGGGCAGGAGCATACCATCGTTGCCCCACCCTGGATTTGCGCCTGGTCAGGGTTTAGCTACCAGATCACAACTATTATGACTTTACGTCGGCGACATTATAATACCAACGTATACGGGAAACTAACTTACTGATTAAACTTTATTGAGTAATATTTTGCTTCAATATGGGCATTAAACTAATATGCAGGGTGACTTTGAAGTTGAGTCATTAATTTTCAGATAATGATTGTAGAAGGAAGATAAACCAAAATATGTGTGTAAAAATAAAAAAAAAATAAAAAAAAAAATTTACCTTGTTTTATTAAGTATCCTCCCGACAAGTATTTCAGTGCGGACCTGTATTTGATCGTGAGGTCCTGGAGCACCGGCATGCCGTCCATATGTGAGGTCTTAAGTCAAATGATTCACGAACCCGTTGTACTACATTAACAAAGGCACGAGGGGTTGGTTGCACTCGATTGGGAAACCGATCCGCATAAACATGTGCCATTTTTTATTTCGTTTGAGCCACGCAACAGACCCCACTATCCACTACCGACTGACACTGACTGTATTCAACTGAATGAAATAATTGTAAAAACATCGTTCCAAATTCTTTCGCTTTTTTGTTTCCGATGCGATGAACCGATAAGGCGAATTACATCCGTTGTCGCCAAACACGAGCACATAATATTATTATTGAGACAGGGCGGTACTCAAACTTCCAAAGGGCTATAACTTTGTTACTTTAATTTTACCAGAAAAATGGTAAAGGAAAAAAACATTTCTTTTGATCAGATCTACTCACTGTTAAAATAAATGACTCAACTTCGAAGTCACCCTGTATATACCATATACAGATGGATTTAAAGGAAAGACAGGTACTACGTAGTTCCTAATCTCCGGCCACCTCAACGAACCCATTTTCTTTTCGTTCGCCTTAAGATTATTTTCTCTTTTGTAGGCTAGGTTAATGAATCGCTGCTTTATATGAATAGTGACTAGCTGCATGGATATCGTTACGAGTACGCCCTAATTCCAAAAAAAAAAACATGTCAAACAAAAAGTCCCATTTCTCTCCGAATAAGCCACAACCATGGCTAAGGAAGTAATAAACGTGAACTGCCATCCACATAATCGTGAAGCTTTTATGTTTCAGGGAAGAGGAGCTGCTAGCAGCCAGCTACTTTATCGAAAACTACCGAACTGCGTTGCTCGTATAATTTTATGCCAAATTAAAAATTCCCAATAAAATCATTAGTAGAGATGGGCGAAATATAAAACTTTGTACAATGTGACTACCTGACTGTCTCCGGCGGCGAAACGGTCGGCAATATCTCTAAAATTTTATAGATTTTCGGGGATGAAACTATCCGAGTCGTTTCTCAGAAACAAAGGATTATTGAATTTATATTATCAAGCGGAGCTCCATTTTTGCGGAGCATCGTATACGGCACGTTTGTATTATTATTATTTATTGCTAGGGTCCGATCGAATCTTCGGTATCGACTTTGGCTTTGGCCACATCCTGTCGAAAAAACACCTCCGGCCACGCATTCGGCTTTCACCTAAAGAAAGGCGCAGAGTTTGAACCGCGGCCGAGAATTTCGAAAAATCTTGATTCTGAAATATCCTTTGTATTCCAGTTATTTTTTTAGATAGTCAATCCTGCAGGGCAACAGGGAGATAAAAAAGCTAGTTTACTAGGCAGCAGCGGTGGCCGCAGTAGTAGACTCTTCGGTCTCCTGATCACTCGCCGTGCTCTGTGCGGGTACGAATCCCGTCCCAGGAACAAATTTTGTCGGCTATGGATGTTGTGATTGTCTGTAGGTGGTAGACGGTCTCTGACTGTCGAACGCGGAGGTACCACCCGGCGGATCTCATAGACGGGCCCCTCGCCCTCGAGTCCGTGTGGCGTTCCCCCTTTCCCCTGTATCCCTCTATAGCCCAACGTTACCTCATGGGTGTTTAGGCCTTAGGCCTTCGTGGTAGTTGAAGTATGAAAAAAACTATGCGTTATTGGTATGTTACTATTTTTTTTAATTTCTAGAAGTTTTATTAAACGCTGCAGAGATCTTTACAGTTCCAGCTATTCACTTTCACAATGCTCGATTCTGGTAATAGATGGCGCTTTGCGATGTTCGTTACTATTTTTGGTTTTGGTTTTTCTAACATCTTGTGTTCTTTCCAGAACTCGATTCGGCACAACCTGTCGCTTCACAACCGTTTTATGCGCGTCCAGAACGAAGGAACCGGCAAATCCTCCTGGTGGATGATCAACCCAGATGCCAAGCCCGGGAAAAGCGTCCGCAGAAGGGCCGCGTCCATGGAGACGAGCAAATTCGAGAAGAAAAGAGGCAGGGCGAAGAAGAAAGTCGAGATGATCAGGAATGGATGTCTGCCGGACACCACCCCCAGCCCTAGTTCGTCGGTCTCGGAGAGCCTCGATTTGTTCCCTGATTCGCCGCTGCACAGGTTTGATCTGCTTTCGACTTTTCTTATTTTAACAAATAAATACAGGGTGTCGATTTTGTTTTCGAGGGGGACACAAGTTTGACAAAAAGTCACGTTAACACGTGCAGCCCCCTGGGCGGGGGTGACACCACCCCCAAAATCTTAAATGGAAAGGGGGGTCGAGTGATACCTTATTTTAAAGGTCTTTCAATTCCCTTTATAATGATATAAAATTAATGTACTTCGGTTCAGTAGTTTTGAAGATTTATTCATTTAAAACTTAAAGTAGACTTTAATAGATACATCAGATTAGTTTGTACTATTTTCAGCAGAAATTTGACTAAAGGAGTTTACTTAATAAATAAATGCTTTTCTTCAGTGCGCCCATGTTTTGTTTATCTGTTTATCATTTTGTTGTTGAAAATAGCTATTGGAGCGTTTTTTTGTCGCAAAAAGTTATTTCTTGCAGAAAAATAAGGAAATATCTCGTTCTTATTTTAAATAGGAATTTAGTACATAGTTTGCGATTGTTTTGACCAAACTTTGTTGCTAAAATATACGTATATAATGTATTTGGAATTACTGGAAGACGTCAAAGATCCCGCATTAACAGCCACAATTGAAAATGTGATGTTCCAACAGGATGGTGTCCCACCACATTACGCATTACGTGTGCGACAATATTTGGATCAGACGTTTCCAGATCGATGGATTGGTAGAAGAGGTGCCATTGAATGGCCCCCAAGATCGCCAGATTCATCGCCTTTGGATTTCTTCATGTAATAATAATCATCTTTATTCGTTGGTACCAAGGTACGGAGATATGGGGATGTGGTACTTGGAAAAGGCGAAGTTCAGCTTTCATTCCTATAGAGGAATGGCTGGTCTTCCACTTAACCTAACAAAACCTACTTAACTAACTTCAAAGCTTAAAATTAAAGATATATGAGTAGTATATGTTACCGTAGTAATATTCAAACAATAGCCTTTATGAAAGCATGAATAACTAATATATAGAAGAAACAAAGATATAAAGAAATTAGGGAAAAGCGTACAATGTAAGTTAGGTATAATCGTATATATGTAATATAGGTATGTGCATAGAAACAAAAAACATTTAGATATTCGATGTTATTAATTATTGTAGCGAGATCTCAGAAAATGGAAGTAGCATTTTGAAAAATTATATAGTGATTTGGATTTCAAGTGTTGAGGGACAGCGTTATATATTTTGGAAATGTTATGAGAAAAAGATCTTTCAATGTGGGGTCATTTAAAAAGTAAAATCCATGCTACTCATCCAACGACATTAGAAGATCTGCGACAAAGAATTGTGAATGAGTGCCTTCAAATTACTTCTCAAATATTGCAAAATGTGCGGCAAAACCTTTATTAATGCATGGAGAGTCATGGTGGCCATTTTCAACATTTACTTGCCTAACGGGTTGGTTCATTCTTCATTTTTAAATTACTTTGCTGCCGAATGTATTGATCTCCACTAATGATGATGTATTAGTTTTGTTTTTGCTTTAAATCAATAAATCTTCAAAACTACTGAACTGAAGCTCATGTATTTTATATCGTTATAAAGGAAATCGAAAAACCTTTAAAATAAGGTATCACTTGACCCCCCTTTCCATTTAACATTTCGGGGGTGGTGCCACCCCCGCTTAGGGGGTTGCACGTGCTCACATGATTTTTTGCCAAACTTGTGTCCCCCTCGAAAACAAAATCGACGGGTTTGAGCGTTTTTCCAAAACAAAAAAACTGAGCTGCCAGTAAATGCGTCTGTTTCGTTTTCGATGCGTCACCCTGTATATTAAAGGCACTGGGACATTTAAAACGTATATGTATACAAATTTTCACGGTGTTCCTTAATGATATGCGAATATTTAAGGGAGTGAGTCTACATTGAAAATTAATGCTTGTTTTATATAGTCCAAAAATGTTTCCTTACAAAAACTAGGGGGTGTTTAAATTTAAAAAAAAATGGAATTTTCAGAACCGCTTCACATATTTCACTGATATTTAGTACGTAGTGAAAGTTAATAAAGCTGCATATTTTTCAATGCAAAAATAATTTTTAGCCTTTACAGTGGCGTGCGTACGGGTATTAACTTCGATATTTCTTAAGAAAAAAATGGTTGAATTTAAAACAAACGATCTCTCTTGAATTGTTTTCCTTCGATGTGCCATTTTTGATTAAAAAAAATAAGAACCGTTCTAGCAGATGAAGCAATAACCGATAAATGAAAATGTTGCGATGTTTTTCGAGTTTTTATTAATTTTGGGCAAAAACCCTTCTTTCTTGAAAATCCAAACTTGATTTATCATTTCAAATTCGATTTACTTGCCTTACTTTTTCTTTTCGTTTTTTTTGAGGTGAAAAGCGTTTTCAGTCTGCCTTAGCAAACTTAACCTAACCGCATCCGTTTCTTTTCCAGTGGCGGGTTCCAGCTGAGTCCGGACTTTCGTCCACGAGCCTCCTCGAACACGTCGTCCTGCGGGAGACTGTCCCCCATCCCCGCTGTGGGGGTGGAACCGGACTGGAGCGCCCCCTCGCAGTACAGTTCCAGCTACAGTCCCGAAATGGGCGGCGGGAACTATTCCCCGGATCAGCTGGCCGGAAACCTCGAACAGGGCATGAAGTTGCAGTCGGATTACATGTAATATATATCAAATTGCTTCTACAGGGTGGGGCAAAAGTCACGAAGGGATTTGAAAAATTAATAACTTTTTTAAATTTATTTTGTTTTCATTTTTTTTTCAGGACCGTGTAAAATAAATCCTGGAGATTAATTATGGAGCGTTACAACCTCAATCAACGAACCAAACTTATAGAATTTTATTTTGAATATCACCATTCAATAATTCAAACTCAACGAGCATATCGTCGTCATTTCAATTTGCGGAATTCGCCCTCTGAATCAATGATTCGACGCTTAGTGGCACGATTTCAGCAACAAGGCACAGTTATGGATCTCCCACGAAGCGGAAGGCCACGTTCCGCAAGAAATGAAGGGAACATTCAACGCGTTCAGGAGAGTGTTCAGGAGAATCCGGAAACCTCAACCCGAAGACGTTCTGCTGAGCTGCAGATGTCTCAAAGGTCTTTACGCAGAATATTAAGAGGAAATTTACATCTGTTTCCATATAAAGTGCAGCTAGTGCAAGAACTAAAACCAGCAGATTTTCAAGAACGACTAACTTATGCAGTTCGCTTGCAAAGAATGGCTCGAGAAGATAATGAATTTATTCATTCTCTGATCATGAGCGATGAAGCCCATTTTCATTTGAATGGCTTCGTAAATAAGCAGAACTGCAGAATATGGGGTACCGAGAACCCAAGGGTGGTTCATCAAAGGCAATTACATCCGCTTAAATGTACAGTATGGTGCGCAGTTACGTCTCAACGAATTATTGGACCATTCTTCTTCGAAGACCACGATGGGAATGCTGTATCTGTAGATGGCGACCGATATCGTGATATGATTCAAAATTTCTTAAGACCAGCTCTTGCTGACAATCAAACGATGACTTTCCAACAAGATGGAGCCACTGCGCATACTGCTCGAGCCACTATGCACCTTCTAAGGCAGATTTTTGGCGAACGTTTAATTTCGAGAAATTCAGGATTCAATTGGCCCGCCCGCTCGCCGGACTTAACAGCCCCTGATTATTTCCTTTGCAGCAACTAAAAGATAATATTCGAGCAGAAGTAAGTGCTTTGGGGCCAGATATTCTGACTCGGGTAATGGAAAATGCTCTTGCAAGAGCTGCACTTTGCGAGGCTGAAAATGGCGGTCATTTGCGTGATGTAATCTTTCACACTTAAATTGTAAACAAACTCCAAACATTGCATTTTAGTTTTGTGTTAGGGAAAAAAATTAAAATTAAAATTTAAAAAAGTTATTAATTTTTCAAATCCCTTCGCGACTTTTGCCCCACCCTGTATATACATTTTATATACGAGAGTGATTTTTATACATCGTACCATGGAATATTTATCTGACTTGAAAAAAATTACCCTCGTAATAATAATGGTAATAATAATAATAAATGGCCTTTATTCCTCACATGATTACAAAATAATTGGCTTAAAAGGAATAGTGACGAAAAGGTGGAGTGTCAGTTTATGCTGTTTTTCAAACCGACCTAAAAAACGTTGACACAAACTATAAAGAGAAAAAAAAATACCTTCATTTAAATGGAACAATCAATTACCTGTGGATATGCGTAAAATTAAATTCTAGCCATCCGTTTGCTTCAAACTCATTTTTAACCTTTTTTTTTAAACTGCTTAGGCTATATTCTTTATACTCATGGCCAGAAAATTTAATTTCTGTTATTAGATTGTTTTCAGTTTAACCTCCAAATGATCTTGAAAATCAAGAATCAAATATTCTCTATCACTTCAAAAAAATAGATATGACCTTTAGGGCCTGGTATAATATTGATTCAAGGTCACAGTTAATATAATGTTTCTTTCAAGTTTTTAAAATATGACCTTCATACTGGTAATCCTTTAAAAGCCACTATAAGCGTGTTTTCGCGTCTAATTTTCGTACAAAGAAATACAAAGTAGCTTTGTTTGCTCTAAAATTTAAAATGACAGCGTCTTTCAGCATCTACTCTAATTGTTTTTGCCAAAATGGTTTTTTGCAATATTCATGCTCAATTTATAAATATGTTCAGTGAAGCATTCATTGTTTTTGCCAAATTTCAAAATTTTTACCGGATCTTTTTCCTGTAACACACGCTGTGACGTTCGTTATATAAACATGAGTCGATGGTTTTGTGGAATTTTTGTGCTATGTTTCTGTTTTTGAAATGATGAAACGGGCTTTTTGAAAATTTTTTGATTGCAAAATGAAGAAAATTGTCTACGTCTCGGCAAGATTCAAGCCTTTTGAGAAAATAATTTTTTTGAATATGATTATGAATACTAATTCAGTCATATTTTTCAAGTCGTTTGGTAGAATATTGTACAAGAAGATTTGCATTAAATGTGAAATATACCAAGTGACATATAAATCGAAGCACCCAGTTTAAATGGTTTTATTTTAAAAAATTTTGTATAAGTACTTAATGGAGCATAATAAGTAAATGATAAAAATTTCAAAATGATTGCACTGCTTTAAAGCCCTTTGACCTTTAATAATGTGTGGATGCACTCTGATGTGCTACACATTCTCCAACGCGCCTAGGCATGCTTCTGATCAGGTGGTCAATGTCCTCCTGTGGTATCTCATTCCAGGCAACCACCAACTCCTCTCGAAGTGCTTCTAGAGTCTGAGGAGGACGTTGCAAATTGAGCAATCTCCTACCCATCATATCCCACACGTGCTCAATTGGGGATAAGTCGGGAGATCTTGGTGGCCATAGTAACAATGTGACATCATTATGTTGAAAGAAGTCTATTGTGACTCTTGCAACATGTGGTCGGGCATTATCTTGTTGGAAAGTTGGATCTGCCAGGGTGTCAAGATAGGGTAAAAGATGGGGTTCTAGAACTGCGCTGCGCGTTCATGTTACCTCTGATGAAGATTAAAGGTGACCTGGAACCATAAGCTATAGCACCGCAAACCATAACTCCAACAGTGTGATGAACATGTCTTTCAACAAAAAACTGTGGATTCCTCCTTTCACCACGTCGCCTTCTAACCGTGGCACGACCATCGTGCATGCCTAAACAAAATCGAGACTCGTCACTAAAGACAATACTGTTCCATTCCTGATCCCAGAGTGACCGTTGTCTGCACCACTCAAGGCGATTACGTCGGTGTTCTCGAGTTAAAGGGAGGACCCAGTGTGGCCGGTATGAAAACAAGCCAAAACTTCTCATTCGTCGGTAAACGCTTCGCATGCCAATAGGTCTTCCGTGTTCTGCAAACCATTCATTTACAATGGACCTGGTAGTGGAGAAACGGTCCCTTAAGGCCAATAATCCTAGGCGGCGATCTTCACGGTCTGTTGTTCTACGGTGGCGTCCAGTGCCCCTTGCTCTTTGCGTACGGCCTTCTCGAAGCCATGCCTGACAACACCTAACCACAGTGTCTACACTTCTTTGCATCTAACTGCAATTGCCCGAAAAGAAAGTCCAGCTTCTCGAAGTCCCACTATACGGCCCCTATCAAACTCACAAGTTGACGAAATCGTACAGGTCTCCGTACTTTAGGCATCGTAACCGATCGTAAAGGATGTCAAGAACCAAAATCCGCCAACGTTGATTCTTTACTGCGGCTGAAATATTTATTTTTAGAGCGTTAGTGAATTAAAAAAAAAACAGTATAAAAACCGGAATGTCCAACTGATAAGGCTGAAAATTATTTCGCTTGTTATTTACAGTAAGATAAATACATTCGCCAACTTTTATTAAAATAAAACCATTTAAACTGGGTGTTCGGATTTATATGTCACTTAGTATATCTTGTATTAAGGCATAGTGTATATATCTAGAAAACGAATAAATCTGTTTTTTATTGAGCACTGTTTTATGTACAATTGTAAGCAATAAATATTCGAATAAGTATTTAACACTTAACCAGTTCATAGAAATGTTATGGCCTGATGTATGATCATAACTAATTTTGGATTTTCTGCAAACTTTTTGCTGCGTATTGGTCTAGGCAGGAATAATAGTTATAATGGCATACAATAAACAATTTTAGAAATCACTAGTCTTTCACATAAAATTTTCTGGAATTGTTGGTTTACAAGAGGCTTAATGCTAAATAGCAGTTGTCAACTATAAGAACGACGTGACCTTGGAATTTTTCATCAAAAAACATCCCGAGATTTTTTACACGCCCGGAAAATTTAAACCGTGATTCATTGATAGAAATTTCTGTTTTTCTTTATAAAATTGGATTTCGGTTTTGTCCGAATAAAATCATTTAGGTTTTTGCAGTGTTCAATTTAAGAGCATTGCCCTTTGCACAATTATAGATTACTCCTAGATCCTTGTTATAAGTGAGGTAGCGTTTTCGTAATTATTTTGCGAATGTCATTATTTTGCAAATTTGATGTATATATCAGAACGTATAATGTGAACAGTACTGGCCCTAAAACCGAACCTTGTGGCACCCCAGATTTTATAAACTTCGTCGCCTAATGAAAATTTTCGGCTTCTACCAATTAAATTCTTGCTTTAGCATCTCCGCAATAACGAACGTACAAAATCACGGTAAACGTGTCTCTCGTTTCAGGTTTATGAATGGCCAGGGTCCCCAGCAGCAGCCGCCTCCTCCCTACACTGCTCCCTACGAACAGTTCCCCGGTTGCAGGGATCTGAACGCACTCCACGCCACCACACCGTACGGATTATGTTCCATTCATCGGATGCAATCGTGCAACTGCTTGCAGCCGATCAAAGTCGAGGTGAGTCTCACACTTCAGGCGCGTTTCTGTATTTTCGACAATCGTAACATCCTTTGTTTCGCTTATTTGCAGGGACAGGTGATTATGGAAAGGAGGTTCTTGCAAAATGACACATCGCGATAAGGTTTATACTCACAAATCTGAATCTTTTCGGTGCGAATCCGAAGCCGTCTTCTGAATATCTCAATTGGCTTTAGTTTTAGAGATATCTCAACCTAACGGTGCAAAATAGCAAATATAATGAAAATCAGAAGAAGGAAAATTTCAAAACGCGATATCTCAACAAAAAATTATATATTTAAGCAACTTTAACGTCACTTGAAAGGGCAAGGTTTGTACTTTGACGTGGTGTTTTTGTAAAAAATATAATTTGACATGATCTCAAATATGGCTGTTTTGCAGTTTCAGGTTAAGAAGTCTCGGAAAGTAGAGCCAATTGAGAGATTCGGATTCGTCTCGTAAAAAAAAATTGTATACTCTTGTTTCTGAGTTCGCTTTTGTTGACCTGTGTAATCCAAGTTTCAACTTGATCGCATCTATGAAAGTTATGCGTTTTAATATTTCAGAACGTACGTATTTTAAACTTGCCATTGGAAGAAATAGCATCAAGATTGTATGCATCAACGATGAGTAATGCTTTTACTACTAAATTTACTCATAGCAATTCATTCTGCGATGATGTATGGCACAAGACAATATGCCAACATTTTTCTTTTTTTCGGGCCCAATTTAGTCCAGCTGCTTCCAAACTATTTATTCGAGTATTTATAGTCATCAACACTTTTACTATCCTGAAATATGGGTGCGCTATTTATAAATCTCAAGGCCGACCGTAATTTCATATCATTTTCCTTTGCGCAGTCATGCGTTCTGTATCTGATGACAGTTTTTCTGTTATCCCACACGACGCGAACTCCACATATGAAAGAACGCCATAAAGATAGTTGCTTGAAGCATCCTGGATCTCTGATACGGCTACGGAGACCCGTAACTTCTTTCGACGAGTTATAATAAATGACGCAACTTTGAAAGCACCCCGTATAACAAGGCCTCGCGTAAAAGAAATATAGACAGCTGTTATCGAGAGCCAGAGAAAAGTAGTGGTGCGCGTGGTACGCGCCTGCAGAACGCTGTCGACCGATGGTCTGCTGGTGGCGGCTGGTATCCCGCCAATTGATTTGCTGGCTGTGTAGAGATGTGCGCTCTATAAAAAGGGCGTCGAAGCTAAAAGCCGCGGAGAGATGGGATGCAACTGGCCATGGTGATCCCAGATATCAAAGCTTGGATTAACAAGGAGCGGTACGGATAGATTACTGTACTGCACAATTCCTCACAGGACATGGTTATTAACACAGCTCCTTGAAGAGGGTAGACAAGAGAGAATACGCGAATTGGGTATATTAAAATAAGGAGGAGGATGCTCCTAAATACCTACTAGAATGTGTTAGATGGGTTGACACAGTTAAAAGTGGAGAGAGCCTCGGAGACAGGCTCACCGCTGACACACGTTCCCCTATTAAAAAACAGTGCACTGGATTCCAAAATATTTATCACAGTAGTCAAATGAAATTCCGAGAACCCTTGTGATACTAACATTAAAAATGACGTCAGATTTGCCTGAGAAACAGGTTTTGGTCAAGATAAGCAAGAGTTTTAGCAAAACGTGGATTTAAGAAAATTCTGAATTTGACACATCAAAATGGGTGACTTTGAAGTTGAGTCATTAATTTTCAGATAATGATTGTAGAAGGAAGATAAACCAAAATATGTGTAAAAATAAAAAAAAAATTAAAAAAAAATTTTTACCTTGTTTTATAAAGTATCCTCCCGACCTGTATTTGATCGTGAGGTCTTGGAGCACCGGCATGCCGTCCCCTGTGAGGTCTTAAGTCACCTGATTCACGAGCCCGTTGTACTACATTAACAAAGGCACGAGGGGTTGGTTGCACTCGATTGGGAAACCGATCCGCATAAACATGCGCCATTTTTTATTTCGTTTGAGCCACGCAACAGACACCACTATCCACTACCAACTGACACTGACTGAATACAACTGAATGAAATAATTGTAAAAACATCGTTCCAAATTCTTTCGCTTTTTTGTTTCCGATGCGATGAACCGATAAGGCGGATTATATCCGTTGTCGCCAAACACGAGCACATAATGTTATTATTGAGACAGGGCGGTACTCAAACTTCCAAAGGGCTATAACTTTGTTACTTTAATTTTACCAGAAAAATGGTAAAGGAAAAAAACATTTCTTTTGATCAGATCTACTCACTGTTAAAATAAATGACTCAACTTCGAAGTCACCCTGTATAAAACGCGCAACCATAGTTCTCTGATAATCAATTTATTTTGTTATTCGATATACAAACAAGAAATTTCGGCATGCTTATGAAAGTAAACTGATTAATCATGAGAATCACTATTCAATTTATTCAAAAGAAAGTTTCTGTGAAAAATATATGTTGAGCTCAAAATATTGTAGTAAGTAATATCATGTCGGAGGTTATGGGCGTTCTTGAAAAATTAACAACAAACAGCGCCGTCCGTGTCGCCTAGTTCCGATGTTTGTACCTTTTTGCTTAAAGGAACTGAACGGTAACCCGGAAGGGCACGTCTAGCTACGATTTTCAAGGTTGCGCTAGATAACGGGGAGCCCTAATGATATATATTAACGTTTTTCTGAAAATCTGATCAATACAAAATACAAACAGTATTATTAATGTAAAATGCACGGAGTAATTTTATTTTCCTGATAAGGCTTCACCCGCGTTCTAACCGCACTTGTTCGTCGCGCCGTGTCTAAATAGCTTTTTAATATGTCGATTTTCCGTTGTTATCGAGTCTCTCGATCTCGATTATCGAACAATAACTGTAATTTGTCGCTAAAGGACATGTGATTAGCCTTTTATTTAAAGGCTTGACAAAAATTATACGCCGCCGTCACCAGGTGCAATTACTGAAATTGTTATAGTTGAAATCGATACATTATGTTATTAAAATTCGCGGTGTAATACATATAATAAATACACTTGATATTAATATAATCATTTGTCTATAAGAGTGATTAACGTATTCTGAGCGAGTAGCAGAACACAAAAGGGAATTGAGCAATCTACTTTAAAAAGAGTTAGATTGTTTGTTTCTGCTTCATTCTGATGATGGCACTGAGATCTTTCAGCTCCTTTTTTGGGCGCTGGATGACTATCTTGGTACAATAAGTTGATCAATATACAGGGTGGCGCATCGAAAATGAAACAGACGCATTTACTGGCAGCTCATTTTTTTTTTGAAAACCGCTCGGATCTGTCGATTTTGTTTTCGAGGGGGACACAAGTTTGGCAAAAAATCACCCCCTGGGTGGGGGTGGCACCACCCCCAAAATCTTAAATGGAAAGGGGCTCGAGTGATACCTTATTTTAAAAGTCTTTCAATTCCCTTTATAATGATATAAAATTAATGCACTTCAGTTCAGTAGTTTTGAAGATTTATTGATTTAAAGCTTAAATAAAACTAATACATCATCATTAGTGGAGATCAATACATACATTAGCATCTAATGATGTTGGCTGAGAAGCATAGATTTTGCTTTTTAAATGACCTCACATAAAAAAATCCAAAGGTAATAAATCTGGCGATCTTGGGGGCCATTCAATGGCACCTCTCCTACCAATCCATCGATCTGGAAACGTCTGATCTAAATATTGTCGAACACGTAATGCGTAATGTGGTGGGGCACCATCCTGTTGGAACATCAACATATTCGCAATGTACCGCCGATCATTCTGATTTTATAATAATAATAATAATAATATACGCCTTTATTACAAAAAAATATGTACATGGTACATACTGAAAGTGGGACTCAACTGGCGAAGTTTAGCAATGCTACTCTTACACTTAACTAGCTGAATCAATAAATACAGTGATGTTAATTAAATTCAAAACATATTATATACATATATATATATACATACATGTACATACATATACATACACATACATACATACACACATATATACACATATACACACACACATACACATACCTATATATACATATATATCATGCGCCTAATAATAATATTAGCTTCTCAACGTAATAAATATAAAGTCTGATTGGATGATGAATGTGGAAAGGATAGTATCAGTCAAGCAGCCTGATCCTTACATGCTTACGAAAACTTGCTAAGCTCATACATTTAAAGGAATATTCCAACGAATTATATAGAACTGCCGAATTATAAGAAAAACTGCGGGTGAATAAGACTGTAGAGTGAGGCGGAATTCTGATACTCAACCTATCTCTAAGCAACCGATCATGAACAACAAAGTTAAATAGAATTTTTTCTCTCAAGTAGGCAGGCTTTGAAGTGGTTATTACTTTGTGAATAAATACTAGATGGTGATATTCGACCAATTTATCAAATTTGAGCCATTTCAGCGTACTGTATTTCTGTGATACATGGTCAAATTTTCTCAATCCACATATAAAACGGACACAATTATTCTGTATAATTTGAATTCTATTTTTCGTTATTTTGTCAAGGCATGGGAAATAAAGGATGTTAAGTAGTTCAAACAAGACATCACTAGCGTTTCACAGAGTTTTTTCCTGAGCTTATAGTTCAGTAAGTACCTACAAGAGTACAAAGTGCGTAGGCGGAGGTAGGTTTTTTGAGCAAGACAGTTGATATAATTATAAAACCTTAACTTCTCATCGACCTCGACACCTAAAATCTTGGCAGTAGTACCAACCTGAAGAAGATTTCTGTCAATAAAGATATTAAGGTTACCTTTTACGTAGTTTCTTTTATTATCAGAACAGAAAACTATGATTTTTGACTTCTCGGGATTAACTAATAAATTATGATCGGCTGAATATTTACAAACCATGTCAATATCATGTTGTAGCTCTATATTGGCTGTTGGTAATTCACTAGCTTTAAAATAATGTACTATTTGGGTATCGTCTGCAAAAGATTGCATTTCAGAATTTTCCATTACTGCATATAGATCGAAGGTGTAGATGAGGAATAAGAAAGGACCTAGGATAGAACCCTGAGGCACTCCAGATGGTATGACACTTGGGACAGAGCTCTGTCTAGATAGAGAAACTTCCTGAACACGGTCGGTTAAATACGCACAGAAAAATTTAAGTGAGGTATTATCAAAGCCAATATATTTCAATTTAGCTAGAAGAAGGATATGATTGATTCTATCAAATGCCTTAGAGTAATCAACCGATATCAAAGCTACTGTGATCTTTTTATCAAATGCACGTAGCACATTGTCGCATAGATTTAATAAGGCAGCTGTTGTACTATAGTGTTTTCTGAAACCAGACTGATTAGTGGATAAGATTTTGCATTCTTCAATGTAAGCAGTTATTTGAATCTGAACGATCTTTTCTAAGATTTTTGATAACACCGGCAATAAACTTATTGGTCGTAAATCTGAAAGCTGGGGTTTGTTAATTTTAGGGATAGGAATAACTAAGGCATGTTTCCACATAGTGGGAAAGTAGCCTTTCTCAATACATGAATTGATTAGATGTACAATATGAGCAAAGGTTATAGGCAAACTGACTTTAATCATGGTTAAAGATAAGGTATCGATGCCCTTAGCATCCGACTTTAAGCTTTTTATTGCCTGAAATACTTCAAACGGTTCGGCAATTCTTAGAGAAAAGTTATTGTTTGGGTGAAACTTATTTCGATTATAAAATTGAATTACATCTTCGGGAATATTATTAGCACAGTACACGCTCATAAAGTAGTCATTAATCGCATCGGGATCACAAAAATTTGACGGTATAGAGGGTTTACTACTAAAATTTATATCAATATTTTTGAGTCCATTCCACAACTCTTTCGCATTACCTTGCTCCGTTAACAATTCAACGTACGCTTTTTTTTGTTTGCGAATCTCTAAGAGAGCTTTATTTCTTTTCTGTTTATACTTAGCAAAATTTTCTTCCGTTCGATTCTTTCTAAAAAAAGCCAAAACTTCATCTTTTTCCTTTAGTAGTTGTTTAAGGTTGCTGTTCAACCAAGGAGCAGGTTTTTTTTTCAATTATGGCTGTTAATGCAGGATCTATGGCGTCTTCCAGTAATTCCAAATACATTTCACCGGTCAAATTTCCAGGTAAGAAAAAAGGACCAACTAAATGATCGCCAAACATACCAGTCCAAATGTTTTGTGGCTGCTTTTTATGAACCTCATGATAAATTCTGGGATTAGAATCCGACCAATATTGGCATTTATGACGAGTATTTACAGGGACATGTGGTTTCAGCATGATGGCTGCCCAGCGCACTATGCACTCTCAGTGAGAGAGTATCTCGATCAAAACTTTCCAGGCAGATGGATAAGGCGGTCTGGTACAATACCGTGGCCAGCCCGATCACCTGATTTGAATCCTTTAGATTTTTTTACTAGGGAACTGTAAAAGAAAAAGTGTATTTCAAGCCGATTCAAAATGTAGCTGAGCTACGGCAAAGACTATCGGAAGCAGCTGAGTTTGTTAATAACCGTGGATTCGCTCGTTTAATAACCCGATCTCTTTTAAGAAGATGTCGAGCGTGTATTGCGGCTGAAGGAAAACAGTTTGAGCATTTGCTGTAAAGGTAAATCATCATCAGCAGCATTTTGACGCCCACTGTTGTGCTAACAATTATCCTTAAGGGTACTTGTGCGTTTTCATAATCGCTGTTTAATTAGGAACTTTTGAAAAATTTTCATCAGTTTTTCTTCAAATAAAAATTGTGCATAAGTTAACGAGTAATCTTCTAAGTGTTATACCATTTTGGAATCCTTATTAAATGCGCCAACTTTTAAGGTTACTTGCCAAACTCTCGTAGTACATTTTTTTCCAGTACAGCCAGTTAAAGTTGAGCAAAGTTTTACTTTGGAATACTTGGTTGGGAAATAAGTGGCAATTTTTCCTGAACGAGAAAAGTTGGCAGTAAGGATGAGACACCAGTTTGAAGATGCATTATTCATCATTACATTGTAAAAATAAAATCCAAAAAAAGTTAATATTTGTAGTAACAGGAGTTGACAGATGGCCGTAGGGTGTGAAATTTCTATATTTTTTTCAAAGACCTATAATTTTCAAAACACATACATAAAGTTTTTTTAAATATTTTTCTGATAGCTGTTATGACTTTGCCTATCGCCCGATTTCGGCTTGACGTCGACTTCTGGGACACCCTGTATATAATATTTATGTATTAAATTGGCGCTGACCCTGTCTCGATTGGTTTTCGATGCATCCTAATCTAAAAGTACAAAAATAGCGACGTTTGCCCATTTGAGCTCATGCAGCAAAATGAATTATTTTTTTCAAACCAAGAAATTAAGGAGGAATTAAGAACTACATTTTTTTGTCTAACCGAGTACCTGGAACAGGCAGCCCTACGACGCTGTTAATGCGTTCACAATAAGTTAACAGGTTCAAGAATCGTTTCGACAAATGGAAATGGATGCATGACGAACTATAGTTTGCTTATGTTTATATTTTCGATTTGATCTGTCATCTTTATTTGAAGGTTATAGCTTGCCGAATTCCTCTATTATGTATAATAATGATACTTCTAGACCGCATGAAGGATCACGAATTCTTTGCCTGTTTGTTTGAAATATTACTTTTCTATTTCAGAACATGTCTCCGGTGGCGGGCATGTCCCCATCGTACCCCCATTCCGAGCCGTCGCCCGGCGTCGACCACCATCACCAGTACACGACCGGTTCGAACGGCAACGGCGTAGCACCGGGTGCCTCCTCGGCAGCCCCCGGGGGCCGACTGCCCCGCGCCCCCTCCAACAGTCCGCCCTTAGACCCGCACTCTCCGCAGGTGTCGACGACGCCGGCGCCGAGCCAAACGGCAGCGCCGTCTACGATGATGGGGCAGCTGATGGGCGCGCTCAACAACCACGCGATCATGGACGATCTCAACATCAACGTTGAGTCGCTGCCGGTGAGTGTATCAGCCTTGCTTACGAGTCGAACATCATAACCTATCCCATTGAATTAGGGACTGATGTTTATGTAAAAAGTATTCACCCATAGTAACCATATCAGCTGTTCTACATAAGATAAAATCAAAATTTTACTTAATGCTTACTTGTCATCATGATTTTTAGAAACAAGAAAACGAACATTCTATTCAATCATTACACAACAACACAAATTAGATAACATTTCGTTCATCTGGTGTGAATACTCTTTCTGACAAATGAAGAAATATACATAGATTTACTGGCAGCTCAGTTTTTTTTTTTAAAACGCTCAGACCCGTCGATTTTGTTTTCGATGGGGCATAAGTTTGGCAAAAAATCACGTTAACACGTGCAGCCCCCTAAGCGGGGGTGACACCACCCCCAAAAACTTAAATGGAAAGGGGGGTCGAGTGATACCTTATTGTAAAGGTCTTTCTTTATAATGATATAAAATTAATGTACTTCAGTAGTTTTGAAGATTTATTGATTTAAATCTTAAAGTAGACTTTAATAGGTACATCAGATTAGTTTGTACTACTTTCAGAAGAAATTTGACTAAAAGAATTTACTTAATAAGTAAATGCTTTTCTTCACTACGCCCATGGTTTGTTTATCATTTTGTTGTTGAAAATAGCTATTGGAGTTATTTGTAGTAAAAATTCAAAATGAATTAACGTTGCTACTTTTTTGTCAATTTTCGGCGAATTTTGTGCTTATTGCTTCACGAATCTGACATCCATGACTGTTTTTTATTCCATTAAAACGAGAAAACGATAATTTTTAACGATGATTAGGAGTTTTTTAGAAATAATTGAAGAAGACACCGTTAATTCACGAGTGACATACGAATGACGTTTCTTATACATCTATCTCATATTTAGTTTTCCAAGGCCGATATTCTAAGAAATAAGTTAAAATAATCCGTGTGTTTGTCTTAGAGATTTAGATATACAGGGTGTTTCAGTTTATTGTTGTATAACTTTAAGATTCGATAGAACTTTTAAAATTAATGCATAAAGTTTATATAAACATGGGTCGAAAAAATGCGTGGCTTCCGAAATACAGGGTGTTTAAATTTACTTTCTAAAATAGTTTTTTTTAAATATTTCGTACAATATTTGATGTATAACAGTGAAAATTGGTATACAAGGGTTTTTTGGTACGGCAAAACGAACCATGAGCATAGTTTTACTGTAGCCGCTAGAGGGCGCTCTCTACTATACCTGTAGTGTATTAAAATGACCGAAATTTTTTTCTTAGTGCAATTTTTAGCTTTTTGAATAAAAAAACTGATTCTTCGCATTTTTCTGCATAAAAAAGCTCTCGTGTGAGTTTTCGTTATAGTCAGCCGTTTTTGAGATATTTCGATTTTTAAGGTTCGACGCATTTTTAATTATTTATGGGAAAATAATATTTTTTTACATTTTCGATTTGGGCATTACAAAAAATTAAGATGATCGTTTAGAATGTGTTTTTGAACACAGCAATAATTCCTAACTCCAAATAAACACAAAAAATAGAATACTAATTTGTTTAATTTTCCAATATTATTTTTAATAAATTAAATTAATTATTTACAACTAAAATGCTATTGGATAGTTAGGACAAACATACAAAATCTAAAGTAGTTGCTCGAAATGTAAACCCAATTGTTCAATACACAATTCACATCTACGAATAATCGAACGTGGTATAGCATTATTCAAATAACGCCTTATTTCATCACATGCATTCCTGATTCTGTCTATTAGCATATCTCTTGTGGTTACGGGAGTCTGGTACACTTTTTCTTTTATAAATCCCCACACAAAGAAATCTAATGTATTTAGGTCAGGGGAGCGACTGGTCCTCCACGGCCGATCCATTTTTCTGGATAATGTTCGTCCAGCCAGTTTCTAACTATTCTCGAATAATGAGCTGGACAACCATCAAGCTGGAACCAGACCAATCTTCTTAAATCTAACATAACATCAGCCCACATATTTGCATGTTCAGCCTTTAAAAATTCCAAGAAGGTCGCAGCATTTAACCTTGCAGGCAAAAGGTAGGGTCCAAATAGTCGATTACAGTAGATACCAATCCACACGTTCACACTAAATTCATGCTGATTTATTTCTCGAACTGCATGCGGATTTTCATGCGACCAAATATGTTGATTATGAAAATTTACCACTCCACGTCTAGTGAAGCATGACTCATCGGTCCATAAAACGTTACTTAGAAACTCCCTATTATTATCAGTTCTATCAAGAATCCACTGACAAAATGTGATTCTTCGTTCTCCGTCTCTTGGCTGTAGTCCTTGTACAGGTTGCAAATGGTAAGGACGTCTATGGTCATTTCTAAGAACACGGTGAACATGGCTTGCTGAAATTCCCAAGACACCAGAAACTCTCCTAACACTTGTGGTCGGATCTCTATCAAACTCACGCAGAATCATACGGGTAAATCTGCGCTGACGAACATTTATGTTTTGATCCATTTGGAGATTTCCAAAACCATTTTCAATGCACTCTTACAAATACTGAGCGAGTTGGATGTCGTCTGTTTGGAAATCTTCGTGCGTATTCTCTGGCTGCTTCTGCTGCGTTTCCATTTACAAAGCCATACACAAAATGAATATCCGCTAACTCTTGATTGGAGAATAAAAATGGCATTTTTATAAAACTTACAAAAAAAAAAACAGGTAAAAGAAACTAAATTTCGTGTATTCACAATTGCAAAAAAACGTTTCAGGTTTTAACAGACAACAAAACTAACTGTCAACTAATTGACGTTTAACCTTATTCTGCTTTCAATTTCTAAAATATTTGCAGGCACAGCCTACTTCTAAAAATTATCGAGATACTGACTTTTTAACGTTATTTTATCATAAATAATTAAAAATGCATCGAACCTTAAAAATCGAAATATCTCAAAAACGGCTGACTATAACGAAAATTCACAAGAGAGCTTTTTTATCTTGAAAAATGCGAAGAATCAGTTTTTTTATTCAAAAAGCAAAAAATTGCACTAAGAAAATTTTTTCTGTCATTTTAATACACTACAGGTACAGTAGAGAGCGCCCTCTAGCGGCTACAGTAAAACTATGCCCATGGTTCGTTTTGTCATACCAAATAACCCTTGTATACCAATTTTTACTGTTATACATCAAATATTGTTCGAAATATTTAAAAAAAACTTTATGCATTAATTTTAAAAGTTCTATCGAATCTTAAAGTTATGCAACAATAAACTGAAACACCCCGTATATATATAGATTGGATCTGGCTGATTTGACCTTTGACTTACTGCCAAAAAAAAAGTTAAAATAATACGAACAAATCGTTACGATTCGTTGCAGGGCGGTTTCGAGTGCAACGTGGAGGAGCTGATCCGGCACGAACTGACGATGGAAGGCGGTCTGGACTTCAATTTCAGCAACAGCCAGCAGCAAGCTGCAGCTGCGGCGGCCGCGGCAGCAGCGGCGGTAGCCGCGGGAGGGGGCCCCCAATCGGGGGAAGGAGGCCAACCACCCGGAGGACCCCCACCGCCGCCCTCGTACCAACAGGCAACAGTCGTTACGACACCCTCTTGGGTACACTAGCAGTGATACAACCCTCCCCCACCCCATGGTTTATAGATAGATTATGAAATGTATGTATATTCAGGTGAGTTGTACAGGCGTTATTTTTGAAAAATGTTGCAAGTTTACTTATTTTAAATTAACGGTGATTGGGTGTAGATAGGAATATGTTTGAACTCCATAACTCAAAAATTATATGGCCTTTAAAAGTTATACAGTATTTTTATTTAACGGCTATAACACAAACATTAACAACACTTCAAAATGTCACAACAAGATGCTACAGAATCGGCAAAGAGCTTTAAAAAATATCGTCATTTTACAATGAAAATTTTCAAAGACTCATGTCTAAAAAAATGCCTAGAAAAAAATTATTACGACTATGTATAAAAATAGCTTAAAGATCAGAGTTTCCAATGGTAAATTCGTTTTTTCAAATAAACAATTTCTGGTGCGGGAACCTTATTCTTGAAACAACCCTCGTATTTAACCTTCTCGAAAAAAATTCCGACGTCGACGTCTTGATTATTCCGACGATGGGCTGTCCCTCTTTCCGTGTCAGTTTTCGCCACCTTTCAAATCAACTTTCCGACCGACACCAAAGTGAATTAGAACGCCGGTGGCGGCCGACGAAGACATTATAAATGCTAATGTCATTAGAAAATTTATCGAGCATACCAAATTCGGTCTACCGTCTACAAAGAGGGATGCTCCGCGTTGGCCCTAACTTTGCTCAACGATTTAGCACTGCCACGGTGTCGGACAGCCATAATCAAATTCAGAACACTCAAAAGAAAAAATAGTACGTGTAGTTTGAATGTATTTTTATTATTTAATGTCTGAAAAAGCTCTAAAAAATGGGTATATTCGAAAGTACAGTGCAACTCGCTTATAATGGACTCGGCGAGACTGTGACAAAATAGTCTATTATAGGCAGATGACCATCTTAAAAGAAACACTTTTTTTCAATGAAAAAAGAAGCAGAAATAACATTAAAAGCTTAAAATGTCTTTGTTTAACATGTATTACATATTATAGGGTGACTTTGAAGTTGAGTTATTAATTTTCAGATAATGATTGTAGAAGGAAGATAAACCAAAATATGTATGTTAAAATAAAAAAAAAATTAAAAAAAATGTTGCCTTGTTTTATAAAGTATCCTCCCTACAAGTATTTCAGTGCGGACCTGTATTTGATCGTGCGGTCTTGGAGCACCGGCATGCCGTCCCCTGTGAAGTCTTCAGTCACCTGATTCACGAGCCCGTTGTACTACATTAACAAAGGCACGAGGGGTTGGTTGCACTCGATTGGGAAACCGATCCGCATAACATGTGCCATTTTTTATTTCGTTTGAGCCACGCAACAGACACCACTATCCACTACCGACTGACACTGACTGAATACAACTGAATGAAATAATTGTAAAAACATCGTTCCAAATTCTTTCGCTTTTTTGTTTACGATGCGATGAACCGATAAGGCGGATTATATCCGTTGTCGCCAGACACGAGCACATAATATTATTATTGAGACAGGGCGGTACGCAAACTTCCAAAGGGCTATAACTTTGTTACTTTAATTTTACCAGAAAAATAGTAAAGGAAAAAACATTTCTTTTGATCAAATCTACTCACTGTTAAAATAAATGACTCAACTTCGAAGAATATATATTACATACAAAAAAGTTATACGTAATTTTGAAATTTGCATTTTTTTCAGAATCTGATACACATAATTATTATAGGCATACGTACTGTCGGGATGTGTAAAACCCGTAAATTATTTGGTAAAAAAGCTAGTAATTTTCATTTGAACAGATTGTTTTTTTTTATAATTATTTAGAACAGCAAGTTGAATTTTATTTAAGTTGGTAAGTGTCGCTATACTGTCTTCTTCTTGCTGAAAATAACGTTGCAACTTTTTCACGCACTGTAATGCCTCTTTAGTTATCATCGGAAGCTCTTCTTCATCGTTATTTTCCAGTTCGTCTTCCTGTTCGTTATCAACGGATCCGTCATTAACCAAATTGAAGTCTGACAATGACAAAATTATTGTCAACATTCACATACTCATTAAATTTGTCTACATTCAGTAAACTATTAATTTTTAGTAAATCACTTAATGGAATTTCATCTTCTGGATTAAAATCGTTGACTAGTTCAGTTATGTTTTGCACTAAATCAGCATGGTGAAAACAATTACGAATCCTTTCTAGTAACCAATTCCCATGCAATAGTAAGCAAATTTATAGCATCTAAAATGGTGACAGCTTTGGTAATGTTGACATCTTCTTGAAGCTCCATAATTTTCATCAACATGTTTCCAAATGGCACCCTAATCCATTGGTTGCAGAACTGATGTCACATTGGGTGGAAAAATTGAAGGTTGATGTTATTAATAATAATAATAATAATATTTATTTACTCAGTATACAAAGATAACAAACAATATGAGTAAATAAATATAAAATCAAAACAGGCCCAATAGAAGGCATCGCCTGTACATGGACCAATAATTTAAGTTGAGACTGTAGAATGCAAATGACAAAAAAGGACAAAAATTAGCTACAGTAGATTATGTATTTAGTTGATGTTCGTATTTATGAGTTTATGAATTTCAGTCCTAGATATAGAATGTAGCCACTTTTTTAAATTTCTGTTGAAGCAATTTCCGAAACGTAAATCTTTTAAGTCTTTAGGTATAATTTCATAAAATTTAGGCGCTAAATAGAGATATGATCGCTGCATTATGCATTTATGCGGTTGAGGAACTACTGTGCCACGAATTTTGTACCTGGTATAATGATAATTTTTTGGTCGGTGTTTACAAATTTATGGTAGTGAGTGATACTGTGTAAGAAATAAAGCTGTCTTATATCATACATTCGAACATCTGCATATAATTTTTCAGTGGGATAAAGTTTCGGTTTTTTAAATATCATTTTTAGAATACTTTTTTGAAAAACATCTAAATTATAGATATGTGAGGAACATGCAGATCCCCATGCTAATATACCATATGTGAGATGAGGCTCAATCAGTGCATGGTATAATGTTCGAAGATATTTTTCTGTCAATATATTCCCAAGGTATTTAATTTTGTAGGATACAAATCTAACTTTCTTTAAAATATAATTGACATGGATGTCCCATCGTAAGTGAGGATCCAAGACCACTCCAAGGTATTTTATGATGGGCACTCTATTAATTTGCATTTTTTGATCATTAATGTTGAAGGAGAAATTTGTGTAATTTGGCACATGTCTAGCATAAGATCCAAATGGTAAAAAATGTGTTTTAGAGTAGTTAATGCTTAATTTTCTACTGTTAAACCACCGAATAATTTTGATAAAATCATTTTCAATTACATTTTTCAGATCAGACCAGTCAGTGCCTTCATATAATATTGCAGTATCATCTGCAAAACTAGTTATTTTGCCAACACAATTAATTTGGAAAATATCATTTAAATATATATTGAATAACAGCGGACCTAAGACAGTTCCTTGTAGGACACCACACTTAATATACATTTCTTTACTAAATGATCCTGATATCTGCACAGATTGTGGGCGATTTGACAAATAATTTTCGATCAGTGAGTACGCGTTTCCTTTGAAAACAATTCTCTCCAATACTTCTAATAATAATTTGTGATTAACTGTATCGAAAGCGTTCTTTAAATCAACAAAAATGCAGATTGAAGGGATTCTGTTATCAATATTTTGATATATTTGATTTACAATTTTAGTTATTGCGTCCGATGTAGCCTTCCCTTCTGTAAATCCATATTGATTTTCACTTAAAATTTTGAATTTTGTGAGGTATCGAGTCATTCTAGTAGATAAAACTTTTTCAAAAACCTTTGCTACACTGGATATTATTGATATTGGTCTATAGTTGTTAACATCTGTTTTTGTTCCTGATTTATGTATCGGTATTATATTACCTTTTTTTAAAATTGAGGGATATATGCCAGATTCAAAGCATTTGTTGATTAGGTAAGTGAGTGGTTCTGTTATGTCCTCGGCTATAATTTTCAAATGCTCGCTTTTAATACCATCGAACCCAGGACTTTTCCGATTTTTTAAGGACATAACAGTGGTGTATACTTCACATTGCTCGAGTTTACCCAAAATAAATGAGTTCAAAGTTCTTTTTGGAGGCTGAGTATTTTGTACATTTGCTTGTATATTACTTGCTAAATTTTCGCCTATGTCAGTAAAGAATTGTACAAATTCATCGCATATTTGTTGAGTATTTTTTAATACTGTTCCCGATGTTGTATTTAACTCAGTGACACACTCTTTAAATTTTGTTTTCCCAGTAATCTCATCAATAGTTGTCCAAAGCCGCTTAGGATCATTTAAGTTGTTATTCAATTTATTTAGGTAATGTTTTCGTTTGGTTTGTCTTGCAAGCTCTATAAATTTATTTTTATATTGGTTGTAACAGTCGGTATTCTCTGTAGTTGGCGTTAGTTTCATTATATTATATAGTCTTTCTTTTTCTATTGCCGATGTTATTAATCCTTTGGTAATCCAGGCATTTCTGCTTTTCTCTTTGTGACTAATTATTACTGTATTGGTACTAATATCTATTAGTTTTTTTATTTTCTCTATGAACAGTCCCGTTGCTTTGTCTATATTATTTATAGAGTATAATTGTTCCCAGGATTCTTGTTTGACATTTGATATTAGTTTTGAATTGTCGACAAAAAATTTGTAATTTTACTGGTTGTTATTAACGGTAGGGATGTTAGAATGTTTTTCATTTGAAGATATCAGTAAAATAGTGGAGAAGTGGTCAGTAATGTCGCTTTCTAGGGTTATTGGTATACAAGTAATTTTGTTGGATAGGTTATCGACCAAGAGCAAAATTTTACGATTTCTCTTGACAAGCTCAGCGTCCCACTTTTTTAAAAATTCTTCAAAAATTGATGAAGTCATCCAAGCGTCATTATTTCCAACATAATCGACGGGAATTGTTTTAGCATTTTTAAAACGCCTGGGGTTCCGAAATTTCCCTGAAATAAAAAAGTTCATAAATTGCACTGTATATTTTTTGACGTCGCCAAGACACTAAA